TTTATTACAGTATCCCTGGCTGAATTTAATAGTTAATACTTATTAATTATACCTATAAACTCTTGATATATATCACTAGGCTATTCAATAGTTTGGATATATTCTAAGTTATAAAATACATCATCAAATGAAGTATCTTCAAAATCTTCAGGATCAATATTAGTCGATGCTTCTTGAGATAGTTCATAATCTATAAAATAACTATCATTTGCTAATAATTCTGTTTCCATAATATCAAGATTATCTGAATCCAATTCAAACTAAAATGATATACTTTTATTCTAAAAATAAACAAATCTTTAGTATTTGTTAATAATTATTATATAGTAACATCTATAGCAAAAGTGAAGATAAGACTATATAATATATAGTTCTATTTTCACTTTTACTATAGGCATTACCATATCTATAATAAACTTATAAATTACTTCATAATCTGTAGAATATTCATTACTTAAACTATAATTGTTATAATCTGGAAGTTGCAAGATAGAATTATTAAATTTCTCAATAGAAGCAATTTGATTTGCATCATCTTGGATATAAGGGTACCTTTAAGAAATATGTTGTATTAAAGCATAAAATTTTAAAAACTCTTGCTTGCAATACTCACATAACCAATACATTTGAAAAGAGAAAAAAAAAGATATAAATAAAAAATTAATAAAAAAAGAAACTATTAGGATATTGAAACTTAATTAAAAAAAAATAAGATAAGAGAGACTGAATAACAAAAAAAAATTAGGTTAAAGCAATTAGAAGTTATATAAATAACTAAATTATTAAAGCAATATATATCAATTAGTACAAAATTAATAGGTTTTTAGATGTAAAAAAAGTAAACTAGAATTTAGTAAAAACGATTATGAGTTATGAATCAAAGTAATATATATCAATTAAAATAAATATATATATATCTAATAAATTAAATTTGTTTTTCAATCAAGCAATTATCAAATAATGTTTTAATGATATAATATACTAAACAAAATAAACTTTATATTTTAATTAATTTAATTACAAAAATTGATCATTAATATATTATATAATATATTTAAACTAGTAATTATCTTTATTATATTAAAATCTCAAACTTTTAATATAATTTATATAGATCAATAAATTAACCTCTATAAATTGCAAATAATGTTATTAGCAATCATAGTACAACTTATAATTTTTGTTAAAATATTAAAGTTATAGACGTTCTACAGAAATAGAATATCATTAAGAGTTCCTTTTATTATAATTATTAATTACAAATGAACCAAAGTGATTTATAATTATACTAGTAATTAAATATCTAATATATATAGAAGCAATAGTGATAAAATAATAGTATAGATAATATATAAAGTTTATATTTAATATTAGGGACAGATTGGTTCTGGAAAGACTAGTCTTTTTAATCAATTTTATAGTTAACTAGTTTCTGTCCTGATATTAGTTTGGATTGGCCTTTATAAATACTTTATTAAAAATAATAGTACATATACAATATTTATAGTTTTATATATATCGATATTATAGCAAGTATAATTTTGTATAAAGCTGCTAGTAATGTGCAACTTATTTGAACTACACACTATAAATAGAGATAGATCAGTTAAGTATAGTTTGACCAGTTTGATCTCTGTTTTAAAAGCAGACCCAACCTTCTTTTATCATAAGTGGTTGATACTGTTAGATATTAATTTGTTTTCTTCTTGCACAATAGTTTTATTAAATATAAATATACAGGTTTAATACAAAAGATAATGATAAAAAATTTTTGATAAATAAATTTTGATAATGAAAAACACAACCCAAAATAATATACCACCATATTCTGCAAGACTTGTTACTCATTTCTAATTCAATATCTCCTAACTTTTGAACCCTGATAATAATGATATTGCTAAATCTTATCAACTACCCAAGTCTAACGATGATGGTTTTTCTTCTAATTCAACTTCTAGAAACATTAGAAATATTTAATAAATATTTTCAAATATGAGTAATAGATATCAATCATGACATCCTCTATCTGCTCCTATCATAAATCTGTATCTTATCAACCTTTTTCTTGTTTTCAAAATAAACCTATATCCTATCATGAATCTAGATTTTGCCAAGAATCTAGATCTTGTTATAAATCTAAATCTCACTCTACATCTCGATATAGTGATCATAATTGATTATTATCTTTACCTCAATTACATTCTTCAAGACAATAATCATGAGATAGATATCTATCACATGATAGAATAGAAGATCAGCAAATCAAAATCATATACATAATCAACATGGTATATATATAAAGCTTTTTTTTTAACAATTTTTAAATTCTTTTATATATATATATATATATATATATATATAATTAAGCAAAATATTATAACAATTACTACCAGCAGATTGATAAGCAAATGTTTGCTTAACTTAAGTAATTGTACTTAATACTTAAGAGGCTTGACAAAAGTATGAACAAAATAAAAGCCAGGCTAGAGCAATTGGAAAAGCAATATAATAAATAAGAGAATGACTTTTCTATACAAGTGATAGATGTAAGTGTTTTCATTTTTTTATCTTTGCAACAAATCTGCTATATAAATTAGGTTCTAGTGGTATATAGCATATTGATTTGTGCTGAAAAGTAAATATATATATATATTATAAAACATGTTTATCTGTGTGGTAAAGCGGCTATTCCCAAGCAATATATACCCTAACTAAAATGATTTAAAGAATGCTTTTCAGCAATGTTTTAAAAAGAAGTTCTCTGAATTTATGCGTAATCTAAGTTCTAACCAATATACTAATAGGTTTTAAAGAGAATACTGTATATTGCCAAAAATAAGCTATGCCAAAAATAAGCTACTTTCCTTTTTTGAACAAGAAAAGTAAAAAATATCTTTTACCCTAAAGAAACTAGCCCATAAATAATAATTGTTGTTACATAGTAAAGTCAAAATTTTACTAAGCAAATCGACTACCTTATTAAGTAAAAGTTGTTCAAGAGATAAAAATGCATATATCCTAAAAATTTTATATAAATCAGAGAACATTTTATTAATTGACTTTTGCATATTATGTTTAACGAAAAATTTAAAAATTTCTTTAAAATTTATATTTATTGAGCATAAAAATCAAAAGTTAATTAAAAAAATATTTTCCAATTTATATAAAATTTTTAAAATATATGCATCTTAAACTCCTGAACAACTTTCACTTAATAAGGTAGGCCAACTTACTTAGTAAAAGTTTTAGTAAATAATGAAAAACTATTTTCACCTGATAATAAACTACCTGTAATATTTTCATGTAATTTTTCTAAAAAAAAGGTAACTTATTTTGGCAATATATGGTAGTTTAGCCCTATATATATTGATAACTATTATTTTTTTTGTTTTATTTTGTTAATATTTATGCTTCTTTCACTTTTAATTTTTATTATTTTCAGAACTAGTTGTTGCAAAAAATGAAGAATCTTTAAGGTATGTCAATTCAAAATATAAAGGCAGCAGTATGGCATGTATTCAGATACGAATAATTACTACTATTAAAGCAAAATACTGCACCAGCTGATATTTTAAATTAGAAACAAAGCAAAGAGTTTGTGATTATTTTTATACACTGTTTGAAATAAACAATGATAGTATTTTTTGGATAACTATAATCGCAAGGTTAGCTTTCACTGAAGTTGCTATACCTGAACTCTTCAATAAGCATTGCATCTTTATGCTTATGATTTGTGATTTTTTACTAAATCTTCAGTTTAAAAGCATCACATATACAGAAAAATGCCTAATATATCATATTAAAAGGTACCTTGTAAGTATAATTATTATTAATTTGTATCATTATTAATTATTATTAATTATTATTTTTATTATTGTTAATATAAAATGATTTTGATAATAGTGGTCTATTATATGATTCAGCTAAATCGATATTAGACAATAAAAATATGTATTATAGTAGTAGTTCACAACAAGCATCACCCCATTATGAAACTGAACCTAAAGCAGAACTTTTACCATCTCAACATGCTGATTCATTCTTATCTTTCAAATAGAACTCTCTCAAGAGGATGCTGATAAATTATTTAGTTACAATTAATGTTTTTTTACTTCAAATGTATTTTTTTGTATTAATTGCTAGCGATTTATTATGTATTAAATTTATAATCTGTAATAAAATTATGTATTTACGCTATATGTAGCATGATAATATATACACTGTGATATGATTATATATTGCTTTATAATAAGTTTACTGATATATAGTATTTATAAAAATTATGTATTATATAAATTTCATAGTATTGTTTATTAAAAAAACTTATTTGTTTAAACCTGTTATATATCAATTAATATCTATATCGATATATATTGATTGCTTTAAAACTAGTTATCTATCATTATATACTACAATCAATATAATCTAGCAGAGATAATTGCTATCGATATATATTTAGTAGGTTAGCAATTGATATATATCTCTATATAAAATTTCCTGATACACACATATCTCCAAATAACTATTGTAATAGTTGATTAGAGTAACAATATACAATAAATACATAGTATAGCTTCAACTATACATGGGTGTCTAAATTATTTTTCCCATGGCGTAATTTAAATAGGCGAAATTATTTTCAACAAACTAAATTATAAATATTTTAGGCTGTCGAAAATATTTTAAGTTGGCAAAAATATTTTAGGTTGACGAAAATATTTTAGATTGGCGAAAATATTTTAGGTTGGCGAAAATATTTTAGATTGGCAAAAATATTTTAGGTTGGCAAAAATATTTTAGATTGGCGAAAATATTTTAGGTTGGCGAAAATATTTTAGACTGTCGAAAATATTTTAGATTGCAAAAATATTTAAAATATACTTTTTAAAGCAGTTGAAAATCAGTACATATGTATTACATGTTCGTATATACATATTGTTATCACCAATAATGCCTATATTATAGCAATATATAATCTTTAAAAGTTAAAAACAAAAAATTTACATCTTTTTACTCAAAGACGCATTAATAACATCTTCAATATCATAATCATGTTCATCTTCAGGTTCTACATTACCCGTATCAGTTGTTTCATTTTCATTTCTTTCTGAAAAAACATTAAAATCTAACATGTTTTCGATATCCAAATTCTCATTATCAAATTGCAAAAGATCAGCCAATTCCTCAGTATCTGAAACATAATCAGTATCAAATTCTTCATGTTCACTTTTAAAATTATCGCTGAACATATCATCATCAAACTCAACCGTATTTGCATAATTTTCCATAACTTGCTCAAATTCTGATTCAGAAACATTATGGTTAATATAATTTTGAGTATTAGTTATGTAGTATGTATGCAATTTCGCAATATTAGATACTTTCTCAACAGTTATTCTATAAAAGTATAAATTTAATAAATTAAATTTATATTAGTAAAGCAAATACATTTATGTATCACTGTTTTCGAAATGGATAAAAAAAAATCGAGTATATGCATATACTGCATATACTCGTATACCAGATTACCTTATTATAAATATTTACACATATAACAATTAAATATGTAATGATTTATGATAACAATAAACAATATGTATATACGTATGCAGTATCAATGTACTAAGGTAATCTGGTATACGTACAAGTATATGCACTATACGTGTATACTTGAAATTTTTTTTATATCTATTTTCAAAATAGCAATAATTAAAATTAGATGCTATTGTTCAGTAGTCAATAACATATACTTACCTGCTTCGTCTTTTTTGTGTGATCCAACTTAAAATTGAAAATATACGCTCACAGCTTGCATTATGTGGAGTAATTGCTAATAAATGTAAATCGAGTTTTTGTAAATAATGATTTGATATCTTGCATCCATTCCACCAAGTTCGTGGTGATTCAATATTTTCCATAAAAGTAAAATTATATGGTGGTTCGAATGCATCATACATTTTAATTTGTGCAATTAATATATTTGCACTTGCTAATCCACCTCCAATTTTTTTCCAAATTTCAAGAGCTGTATATACAACTTGGTGAAATACTGAACTTCTCATGCCTTTTCCTCGATATTTTAGATGAAGAAAATATGCCAAAATATAAAATTTTATATCAAATTCTTTCCAACGCTTATTATAAAATTGAATGCATTGCTTACGAAATTCAACACGTTCTGGTAAATCATTTTTTTTAAGTGAATTAATAGCTATCGCCATTTGAAAAAGAAATAAAAAAATATCTGCAGTTGTTGTAACTTTAGATTCGACGATTTTAACTGCATTTTTAGCAGGAGATAATACTTTGGCTAAGGTTTCTGCATTTGCCCAAAATTGTCGATCTTGTGTAAGATTTCGTAATTCAGCAGTCATAGCAAATTCATCATTATCTAAAATCTAAAATAATAATTTATTAATACTGAATATATATATTAAAATATATTTTATTACTGTATATATAGCGTAGACTAAAAGACCTTTGTTATATAATATTTCATATAATCTTTAGATACAACCAGGGCAGCTATCGATTTTATAGATTATGTGGTAGTACAGAGTCAAAATTTTCTCAATAGCACTATAGATCTAATACTGATTTGTTTGTAACAATTGTTGCAGATAGTGCTATACATATGACTTATAAAATCGATGGCCGTTCTGATTTTTAGAAGCCTAGAATATATTATACCAAGTACTATAAATTGCCAAAAATTGGTAAAATATAATAGATCCAGTCTTGTATCCAACATTTATAGTACTATAGCATATGGGTGAATCAGTGGAATTGGGCCTTAGCCAGAAATATAAAATTTTAAATTAAATCTTGCATTTTCTCATATTCGCCCATATGCTGATAGATTTATTAATTTTAGCCTATGCTATATATGTAGTAATTGAATATATACGTATTAATTAAATAATTACTTGTTTAATGCAAATTTCTAAATTAAGTACTGATTGTACACAATCATATGCAGATGACCATCGTGAGCAAACAGAACTTTTTAATCCTTTATTTATCATAGCATTAATCATTTCATTACGCAAACGTGCTCCAGATCGGTGAGATGTGTGAAAATATGTTACAAATAATTGGCATTGCTGTAATACTTTTTTTCCAAATGAAGTTTTGCAAATTATATCACTACAGATTAACTGGATATGATGTGCAATGCATCGAACAGGTAATATTCCTGGGTATTTATCTGAAATATACTGTTTTGCAAGCGACATTGCTGAAGCTCCATCAGATATCACAGCGCCAAACTTATTAGCACCAATATCGAGTAAAACTTTTTCAATTTCATCTGCTGTAAAAATTACCGTATGAGATTCATGAGAAAAATCTTTAATATAATGTACATATTGCTTTTTGTCGGGTGTTATAATTATAAAAGCAAAATAAGAATATCCACGATTGCTTGTCCAACTATCTAAAGCTAATAATATATAAAATTAAATTAATAAATAAATTCTAAAATTAGTACTATAGTATCGCTTATAAGCAGTGCTAAATAGTAAATAAATAAATAAATAAATAAATAATACCTAGTGTAAGATTTTTTTTCATTTTCAAGTTCTTTTTCCATAGAAACTACAATACGTGCTGTTTCATAATTAAGCCAATCATTGCTAAGAGCCTTTCGATCAGGTGGTTTATATGAACAACATAAATTTTTACAAAAATCTAAAAAAAAAGGGTTTTCAACAATCCAAAAAGGAATTCCACAGCAAACAAACAATCGTGTTAATGCCTTGTGACATAATTGTTCTTGACCAGAATCCATTTTACTTATATTTTGGAATTTACTATCGATTCGCGGTTGTAAACCACTAGCAATATCATGTTCGATTTGTCTTTTTTTATTTGGTGTTGGAAAGTTTCGTAAACAATCTTGTTTAATATTAAGTGGAACAGTTTTACAAATTAACGCTAAGTGCGTATTCATATTTATTTCTGTTGCACGTACATTTTCTTCTTTGCAATAATTACATCGCCAACCCTTATGTCCACTTTCTTGAGTATTAATTTCTGTAAAATGACTATCCCAAAGTGGGTTTCTTGGTCGACCTCTTTTATTCTTTTTGTTGGTATAACTAATAGAGTCTGACTCTTCGGTTGCAGCTGTTTCTGTTCTTTCACCCAATTCATTAGATTCCAAATCCTCCATTGTTTAGTGTAAAAAAAAAAGATCAATAACAAGCAATTATATATTACGATATATTTAGATAATCTTGATATAATTTATATTTATATCTTAGATTTAACGATGATTAATATTTATATCTTAGATTTAACGATGATTAATATAACTTGTAATATTATTACAATGTTTTTTGAATACGTATCTTATACAATTACTTTTGTTTAGACATGATTGCAAAAAAAATTATTATAAACAGGTTTGCACAAATTTTTTTAATTCGTCTTATTTCAAGAAAGGTAATTAAGATTTTCAGTGCTTGCTATAAAAGTAAAATTCTTTTATAAAGTTTTTACTTGCAGTTATCAATTAATTTTGATTCGTTTTTATCATGATAGAAACTGAATTTAACAGGATTATTAATTAAGGAAATTTAAAGCTATCGATCAATTTCTATTTGTTCTCATCGTGTTAGAAACTGGAATCAGCATAATAATAATTAAAGTTGTTACTTGTATGCAGATTCTATCTCGATCATCATAAAATAAGATTTTTTCACGATTAAATCTAAATTAAGTATATTTTTTTTAAACCTTTGGTGCTAGTGTCAGAGGGGTTTCCAACTCAAACGTCAAGTATACTATACTACGTTGACCACCAAAGGGTCAAGCGGAGCAAGTATCTCAATTCGAAAATAGAATATCTGGTAAGAAAAGCACTTTTATTTCTTTATTTACGTCTTTTATTTATATACTCACTTTAACTATTTTTAATTACATCATATTTCGATCACGCACATTTGACTTTTTAATTAATCTCTAATCACGCCATTTTCTATAAACCTTATTACGACATTTCTTATGCATCGCTTACTAATTCTGCATTATTGATTTAACTAATTTATGCATCACTGTGCCCCGATCTTGTGATCCGTCCCTATATCGATGATGAAGTCATTCATTTTCCCTATATCGATGATGAAGTCATTCATTTCAGCATCAAAAGATGCCGAAAGATGCTAATACAAAAATTATTTTAACTAATTAATTAATGTTTACCGGTTCTATATCCCAGGCAAGTGCACTATGTATTATGCAATTCCACCCACTAGTGTTAGTAGTCGATTTGTATTAGTTAATAAAAATTGACATAGCAGGTTAAACCGATTTTTAAATATCGACTTAGTCAAGTCGATAAATTAGGATCGACTACAAATACTGGTTTTATTTGCGAATGTTTGATCCAAAATTCGTTAATTCTTAAAAGCATCGATTCGATGCTTTTAAGAATTAACGAATTTTGGATCAAACATTCGCAAATAAAACCTGTTAAATAGTATTTTACAAATATAGCATGCTCACATGAAGATCGTTTAAAAAAAGCAATATCGCGTGCGTACGTACGTTGTAGAAGTCGAATTTACCCCACTTGGAAATGATGAGCAATCGACGTGGCACAGTCGTTAAATTTATTAAATTCGTTAAATTCGTTAAAATTCGTTAAATTCGTTAAATTCATTAAATAGAATGTATTTATAAAATTGGAGAAAACGATAAAATAGAAGAAAAAGAATGAATTAAAGAAATTAGTTAAATTTAATGAATTTATTTCATATGTAAGAATTTAATATATGCAACTCAGTTGAGTTCCAAAAAGCTTCGAAAAATAAATAGTAGAAGTTGGTTCTCTAAAAACTTCCCCTTGCTACATTTGATTATCGTATTTTTCTTAACCCCAAAACTCGTAGTAGACCCGTTATCGCAAATTGGTAAAGAGAAAAAGAGGCAGATCGAATTAGTCATCCAAACCCTTTTATATAAAACAATTACGTGATCAAATCAGTGATCAATCCATTACTTAATATATACGAAATTCGATTACGTCGATTTCAGCATCCACTGATGCTGAAATAAATCACGTGATACTGTGACCTGAAAATAAGCAGTATACTGGAATCTAGAGAAAATAGACAAGACATTAGTATTGAACCC